ACTAAATAATGGATGATCTAGAAACGTGAAATGATGATTTTTCTGTTTTTTCGATTGTAGGATATCTCCGACAATTAGTTAATTTAGTCGGTTTTTTTTCTCATAGATTCGAATGTCTCACATTATTTTACGTTTTTTTTATAATCAATTGCTTCGATAGATGACGATTGAGAATATTAAAATTTCTGTTAACTATTTTGGCGATTGATTGATTGATAACAGGTTTTTTTTTTATGCGGGTTAAACAAGTTTTTGAAGTTTTAAGTAAAAGTTATTTTCTTTCTTGAATTTGGTAAGTGTTGAATTTATACATTTGTTAGATATCAAAATGATTTTGTCTATTTTATCTAAGATAGAAATATAAAATGCTATTTTAGCGAGCAAATCAATGTATATATCGTTATTATTTAAAGTTATTATACTTGTTGAAAATTCTTTTGTAATCATAGGATCATAGTTTAAAGTAGAACGTATATCAGAAGAAACGTTATAACATTTAAAGAATACATTTGAATAGATAATGTGTGGATTTGTTTAGTAAAATTCTCTGTTAGTAATAACAATGTTACTCATTGATATATATATATATATAGAGAGAGAGAGAGAGATATTTCAACATGCTCTTCTTCAGACAAGACTATAAATAATATATACGATACTCATTCACAGATTTATTGTAGTTGTGCGGCTAGAATTGAATGTTTTATTTTACAATGTTTATATAAATACATTCGAATGTCATTGAATATTGTATACTACTCTTTTTGTACTTTGTTTAATAAGAACCAAAAATTTAAAAATAATAAATGTAGATAAAAAGAATTTGACACTTACTTGTTTCATCTCGCTTCTAGTTATTTTAACAGCTGTATATATATATATATATAATGTATAACGTTGACACTTAATAATGATACTTTTTTTATTTGAACAAAATTCAAGGAACACGTCACACTTATATTAACAATTTCTATTAAGATATGCACTAATCAAGAAAAGTGTATATACCAAATATATCTAACAAATAGTTATAAAACTAACCTTGCATTGTCCTTAAACAGTTTTCATTGATAGTAGTTCTTGAACAAGCGAATCAGAATATTTCCGACTACTATCCCAATTACAAATGCAATGGAAAGATGACAATCTGTCATAGTAGAGGCTAGGTGATTATGATCGATTTCTATTATGTATTAAGATCAATGAATAAAAAAGTGTGTGTGTGTGTGTGTGTGTGTAGGACAGATTCTCTGCAGTTCGATGTTCTGAAATAAATACATGGTATGTCTGTCTATTTTTATCATAGAGAGGTGAACGATCGACTAAGAAAGTCATAATTGTAGTAAGTTACAATAGTTATCAACCTTCACCTCCATGTTTCTCATGTATATAGAAGATATTAACAGAAAATCGATTGCTCTTAATATTGTAGTATGCGTTGTGTGATGAGAGAAAAATTCGTCTTGTATTTTGTATATAGATGAAACAATACATATAATCTCTATTGTTCAACTATTAGATTTATTTATTTTAGAGTAATTTTCTAATAACAGTCAGTAATCAATCACAGTACGAGGTGACTTTCTATTTTCATGTGATTACATCAGTAACGAGATAGAATAAGAATTGTACATATGTCATTCTAATGAGATGTACCAAAAACAGAAGAAAAAAAAAAAACGGAATTTTTTTGGGACAAAGGCGATTTTGTATTAGCACATAGACTCACTCACAAAGACAACATGAGAAGAAAAGAATCATACAGAAATAGACAAATGTCCGATTTGACTATTATTTATAAAAATAAATATTCAATAAACTCTTCATTATCATCATCATCATTATCATATGAATCTTTAAAACAAATGTTTTTAGAAAAGTTGTCATGATGTTGAATTAATTGTATAAATGAATTTTAATTGAATAATAGTTTTTAGTGCATCGATCATAAAAGTGAAGGATATATTCATAATCTAATATGACATGTTTCTTAATTATTTACCAAGGACATATTTTGATACAACTTAAAATAAGAAGATAACGAGAATTTTTAATAGAAAAAATAGAAATAGTCAGATGAACACTGCCGGAAGGAGAGAACGTGTATACAAGTAACATCAAAAAAGAAACAACAGAATAACCGAAAGAAAATGTTTTTATAAAAGTTTAAAATTAACTATCAATTTATCTTCGGATATGATTAGAAACTTTTTGACATATAAATTTAGAATAAGGAAAGTTTCATTGACAAGCGAAAAAAAAAAACAATTCGATACTACAATATTTGCCATCATTTTTAACATTAGCTATAGAATTATGAAAGAATAGTATCACAATGCACTGAAATAGACAAAGTGGAACAAAAGTGTTTGATCATACTCTTACTATTTTACATTTTAAAAAAAAAGATGTTTTCTACTGCACTTCAATACTCGATCTATATAAATGTGAAAATAGTCCCTATGTTTTTTCATCTCCATAAAATTTAGTTATTACGAAATGTGTGCATCAATTGACTAAATAAATATGAAAGATCTACTATTTTGTTTAATGTATGAATATCATACTATATCTCTTTTTTTTCTTTAGAATGGCATCATTGCATCAAGCTGCATTAGCTGGCTCCGTTGAAATATTAAAATTACTACTTGATCATGGAGCGTCAGCAAATTTGAAAGATCAAAAAGGTGAGTTAGTCTATATTAGTAAAAAGAAATCGAATGAAAATGATGTTGTCATATTTCGATGATTTAACATCGTAATTAACTGAGACAATGACAGCTGGTGATAATTCACATATGTACATATAAATTAATAACAATATTAGAAGATATATTATGCATTTGATTGACAATATGAATGTTCCCAAAGCACTTTGAATCGTTTAAGCTGAACATATGTAGTGTCTTTTGTTAAGATGATTAGAAATGACAGATATAATTCACATGAGAAGTAGCATAAACAACATTAAACATTTCTCATTGACAGATCTTATTTTAATTAAAAATTTAACAGAAGAATCAAAAAATATCGACTTTAATATCTGAATCATTTATTGAAGTTTCGTTATAGTCTGGATTAGTAATTAGAAACTGCGAGCAATAAA